GCCCAGCCTCAAACTATTTTTAAACTGCGTTTCATAGCAGTTTCTGTGAATCCAGCATATGATACTTTATATATTTAGAGACATATTCTGAAAAGGATACCATAAACACTCCTGACTGCCAATTCTCATTCCTGGAATTTACCCTCTTTCTCTGCTTTCCAGTGACTGCAAGAGGACCTGGGTGTCTCCAAGGGCCCGAGATAACAAAACGGCCGAGCGCCTATGGAACGTCAGCTGTGAGCTTCTAGGAATCCAGTGGGAGTAGCTGGTGGAAGATCTGGGCTTTATCAGGCCCTATCTGCCCTGTAATGAAAGGGGACCGAGGAGAAGTCCAGCCCCAAAGGGTTGTCCTGGCTGGCTGCTGTGAATCCTGCCCTCTCTGATCCTCCAGACCCTTCTGGAAACGTTTGCACATCCCACTCTCTTGTGAAGGTGTCTCACGGCGTGAGACGTTCACACCTACAGAACATTCTTTTCTAACAATTGGAGAGTTGGCAATCTTCGGTGGGTAGTGGGGGCAGAGGACTGGGCAGATCCTGGACTGGACATGGAGGTGGCAGAAGAACCTGGGCAATTGGGACAATTTCCTCACCAGCACCAGAAACTCTAGCCTGCATGCTCAGCTGCTGCAACAGGAGCATCAGCATTACATATTTCCAGAAGTTATAGATTCAAACTCTTGATTGTCCTCTTTCCTTTTTGAAATACAAGTCGCAATTCTAGGGTCTGAACCAACTCAGGAAGATCTCACCTAACCTTGGCCAAACTAGATTCCTTCCTCTGAGCATCCTGAAGCCACTGCCTGAAGGACCTTCCCATTTTCAATCATGCGGATGATTTCTTTTTCCAAACCGTTCCTTTTACCTCAATTTTTAAAGGAAATAAAGATTGTGCATTCATCTTATTGCCTTATTTATTTTCAGGGGAGCAAGGGAGGAATAGAGCAAAGAAGGGAAGGCAGCCTAGTTTCTTCCAGTGCTAACATTTTATTATCTAAGAAG